TCTCTAGGGTATTTTTTCACACGCATAACCAAGATAAAAATTGTTGACCTCCCACCGCCGTGCCCCCCCCGCGAGGCCAGTGGGGTGGGGGAACTCTGGGAGTTGAAGTCCACATATCTTAAAGTTGCTAAGGTTGAGAAACACTGCTTTAGGCACAGAAGCCAGATTTAAGCCTGTCATTCTCTTGGCTCTAGACTGAGAAGTCAAAAAACATCTATCTACCAACGCACAATGTGCAAGAGTGCTAAATAGCAGTCCATAAACTTCAGTGAAGAGATGGATCATCCAGTGGTGGATTGATTTTGGTCAATAATAATACATACCCAGTGAGATTTTTGTTGTTGCATGTTATAAAAGTTAGGAAAGATTATATAAAGTTCTAGGGAAGAAACTAGATCCTGAGGCAGGTAGAACGCCTTTGGCAACAAGAGTGAGAAAATTCTATTGGGAAACTACATGGCCATTAAATCATATAGAAATATATATTACCTTGCTGCCTTTGCTTGTGGCTTTAGGTTGTAGTAGAGTTCTCTGCTCTGTTTTTCTAATGGTTTTATAACTCATTGAACAAAAAAAAAAAAAAGGTTGGGTGAGTCAGCAATTGGTTAATGACCATACAGCAGGGAAATGGAACAAAGGATTTTCTTTGCCACAATGGTAATAGAACAATAGTACTTGTGGGTAGTCAATAATCATAATTAAGTAGGTCTGATTCACTTCTAAGCTATTAATTCTGTATATTTTGCATTATTGTTATTTTTGTTAGCAGCAGCAGCATGTTGCCCATGTATCTTGAAATCCTAGCAAAAACACAGATGCAACCAGTTTTGGTGATGATGAGTGGGGAAGAGCTCTGTGTTGACAAAGGGCTTTTTGCCTTCTTACTGGAGGCACCATGCTATTCAATACTAGCATGTGCTTTGCTTGCTGTAAAGCTCAAGTTCAGCCATTCTTAGGAGGACTAGGTTGCCCAACAGGCAATATCAAACTAGATGGAGAAATAGTTTTACCTCAGAGAAATTCTATTTTTTGTGTTCTCTTATCTACTGTGCCTCAAGATCCCTGGCCTTTGAAAGCTCTCTTGACTTTCAACGATCAGCAGAAGTGCCTTGTGTTATGCCCTGACAAGTAATCTCTGTCCACCATGTGGCTATTTACAAATGCGGCACTTGGTCCAAAAGATTAGATAGTATTTACTTTCTTCCCAAGGTTTTGCCTGTATTTTAAGCCACATTGAAAGTGCTAGCTTTACATACAGCTTGTAAAAGTCCTGGATGATGATTTTAAAACTACTTTCTATTAACAGGCACATTAAAATTATCATTTTTTCATCACCAGCCCTTGGTGCTGTGGCTTTCTGGTTAGTCTACTGAAAGGAGTGGTCTTGTGAAGGGGCTCTGTATGTATGTATGTATGTATGTATGTATGTATTTATTTATTTATTTATTTATTTATTTATTTTTC